AGCTGTTTTGCTTATTGATTCGTGTTCTTGCCATGATGTTGAAGAGCTAAGGAAAGTGCTTGAGGTCCACAACATCATTTTGGTGCTCTTGTTCCGCACGCATCCCATGTTCTTCAACCTTTGGACATTGGGGTGTTTGCGGTTCAAAAAGGTATTATCCGAAATGCTCAGGTTGTAGAGGACAAAGAGGACATGCATAATTCTCTTGGAGTAAATGAAAAGAAAGACAAAGGTGAAGGAATTGATGGCGAGGAATGGATGAATGAAAATTGGGAAAAAGAGGAAAGTGAAGTGAAAGTGAATCGATTTGAAAAGTACCAAATTGAGATACTGACCGCCTTCCACAAGTCGACTTCAATTGTATCGTGCTCTTCGGCTTTTAAGGGTGCGGGTATAACATTCAAATACGACTCGGAAAAGAAAGAGTACTTTTGTCAAGTTGATCCCTTCAAGTGTAAAAGATTGAGGGAAGAATTCCCTCTCCTTTTCAAGGATCTGAATTTTATTTCCTTTTTTAGTTCAATAACTCCAACAAAACTAAAAAGAAGGTTTAAATATGAAGACCTTCCAACTCCTAGGGTTTCTATAACAGCTATTAAAGTCTGTGAACTGCGAAAAAAACAGACTCATCAAACAAACGATCTAAACATCGACGACGAAGTACAATTGTTGTTAGACTGCGAAGTCGACGAACAAATCAACCAAGAAAGTCTGTCTAAAATACGTTTGTATTTGAAGCCCGAACCCCCCCAAACCCAAATCTACAAGAGGAAGGAAAAAAGGCAGTAAGAACAAGACTCCTGAAGAAAAATCAATATTAGAAAAGAAACCAAAAAACCCAAGAGGTCGACCCCGAAAAGCAAATTAACTCATTTTTTGTTATTCCATTTTGTTATTCCCTTTTGTTATTCATTTTTGTTATATATAACATAATAATAACATTTTGATGAAAAATAGCAATTAATTTATTCGTTTTTTCAAGACAGGTTTTTTCGAACGAGACACCTTTTTGTTATGACTGTAAATATAATACAAAAAAGAAATTTTTTTATAAACAAATAAAAAAAGACTTGTGGGGGGGTCAGGGGGATCCGCGCCAAGGGAAAATTTGGAAAGTGGTGAAACAGTGCACAAACAGACTGTTTGAGTGCGTCTATTGAGCCTTCTTTTTAATGCTCCTATCATTTGGTTTCCACTAACTCGAGGTTAATTTTCAGCATTTATTAAATTCGGGAACCAGACCTAATATCTTCCCAGTTTCCTATTTATTATAATTACAATTTGAATATGATTCGAAATAGTAAAAATAGTTTATTTTTAGATATGGTGGTGGTCAATGTAGGTCCCAAATAAAAATGTTAAAAAAATTGATTAAATAATATTATTAGGTATTCAGGTTGCTAAAAAAAATAACAAAAAACACTTAAAAATGTGCAAGATTGTAATTTCGATATAACCAATAAGATTGGTTCATACCAAAAAATAAGAACATAACAAAAATATCGTTATCAAAATTAAAAATGGATTCCACTTAAAGAAAATTTCTTTGCGAATAATATAACAGTAAAATAATACGATAAAAACCCACTGCTTATTATTAATTCTGGTTGTTGTTCAACTGACACAACTATAACAATAATTATTATATTCTTTTTTCAGTAAAAAACTATACCCTAATATAAATAGAGCATTTTAAAAAATAACAATTTTGGGCAAATAAAAACCTTTTCAAAAAAGAAGTTTTAAGAAATTTAAAAAAAAATAAAGAACTTTTAAAGCTCATTATTATAATTACAATATAAAAATTTGGTTATTTTTTTCGTTTGAAAAAAGATCGGCTTATAAAAGAAATGACAAAATAATATGTTATGGTATGACTGCATCGCCATTTAATATTGGACACAATAAAAAGAAAAAATTATTGAAAAAATATTATAAAAAGAACAAGAATTTGAATATTTTCCAATATTAAAAATTATCAGAAGACATAAAGTTTGAATATTATGGAAAGTATTTATTAAGTAAATTACTTGATGATCATTTCAACACCTGAAATAATACAATCAAAAAACACAAAAAATAAATACTTTAACAACAAAATATTAAATAATCTGTTTACAATACAGTTAGTGTCTTCAACTTCAATCAAATTAAACAAGAATGAAAATAAAAAAGGAAAATTTTATATGTTAAAATACTCATTCATTATTTAGGGTGTCGAAATGATTATAATAATACTGCCTATGTTTTTCATGTTTGTACCCAAATTGGTATTAACATCTACAGGAGAGCCAAGAATAATCAAGATTTATTGGGACAACAATGAGGTCCAAAGGTTGGACAAAACAACAAAGTTGATTATCATACATTGATTCTTATAATTGACGAATTGAGAAAGAACAACCAGATAACATCGGAAAATTTGACAAAATGTGTGAATGAACACAGACTGGAGTTGATGAAAGAAGTTGCAAAATTTGGAATGGAACTTGGTGCAGACGAAGATGTTATTAACAATACTATCAAGCAATCAATATTATCAACATATACTTTATCTACACTTGTTCAAAAATTTAGTAGGTCATTAATAACGTCAAAAGAAACATATTCGATAGAAATTCAGAAGTCCGTCTTCTACAAAGAATTTTGTATGCTGAACACATAGACTTTATCGAAGTGTTTAAATT